AAGAAAATGATAATTTTCATAAACGTAGAGCGTTTACGTTTGTAAGCAGAGTGAGGCTGCTTTAGCGTCGGGTTATTGTACTGGTGAGATAAGCTTCTCCTTTGAAAATTCTGATAATGTTTAAGAAATCATTTACTTCTGTGCATGCAAATTGCTAAGCTAATTAGGATTAGGTTTAGAAAAGTTATGTAATCTGTTTTGATTCCAAGGTAAAATATAATAATAATAAGTGAACTTTTACACCTGAGATATTACAGGTCGGTTACTGATATAACTTCAATATATTGTCTAGATCTTTGTGAACACCCAGAGAAAGCGTCATAAATCTCGGTGTCTAACAATATTCTAACAGCGAGGTCAGGCAGGTTTCCTATTTCTCAAAACATACCTAAAATAACCAGCATATGAGATTTCTTCTTCGAATATTATAACGCTAAAAATCAAGTTTTGATACCTGCGATGGGCACTGCAAGATAGCCCATTGTGTAACTTGTGCTTAACAAAAAACAAGCAAAGAAATGTGAAAGTGAAGCTGTAGAAATGTTGCTAGAAGTGTTGACTCAAGACGAAATACTTCTGAAATGTCGTCCTCTACACTTGTGTTTATTCTACAACAGACAGTTGCCGCCCATTCCAGTGTACTTATCATGAATATTGTTATGACAGCGGAAGTCACGTGACGCTAGAAACACGTAATGAGTATCTAGAAGGATCAGGGAACATCACGAATAATCCAGTATTTGCTAGACGCCCTCTATTCCTGTATATAAGCTCGCCAGATAAAGCGAGACAATTAATCGGAAATGGAATAGCAGACAGAGAGATTGAAGATATAGACAGATAACCGAGTCAAGCCGTAAATAAAGTGTGTAAATCATTGTGAATTACAGCGTGTGTTAAGTTAAAGTGACTGTGGAAATTAAGTGTATTGCAAAGTTGTATTAAGAAAGAATAAACTAGTTTTATTTAAGAAAAAACTTGTGTCGCTGAAGCTCTTCGGAAATAATTTTTACGGGTAATTAACAAACGACCAGAGACGTAACAATATTCTGTCTAAACAATCTATCATAGAATTTGTTGTTAAACACAGTTACATAATGGACTATCTGTGCGGTGTCCAGACTCACTGCTAAGCCATTTCTTTGCTTTATTTATCTTTACTTTGAAGATTAATTTACTTCTTCCCGAGTTAAAATTAATGTCAATGTTAATTTAACTTTGTAAGTGGTGTTTCGATTTCTTTAACTAAATCTATTGTTGCGTC